TGAAACTAACCTTACAAAAAAACGGACACGACAAAAAAGACATAACCAAAGTAATCAATAAACATGCAAACAAGACAACGGTCCCTGACACACAACCAGACGAAAGGATACTAGCCTTCCTTCCATTTGTCAAAGGAACAACAGACCGAATCGGCAGGATATTGAACAAACACAACATCCGAACTATCTTCAAACCACCCAAAAAGATAGGACAAATCTTAAAAAATCCCAAAGATCAAAGACCTCCACTCAGCTCCGCAGGAGTATACAAAATACCTTGCTCCTGCGGGCAAGTATACATCGGAGAAACCGGGAGAATGGTCAACCTACGGATAAAAGAACACCAACGCGATGTCAGGCTAAAACACGCCACGCAGTCGGCACTATCAGAACACAATATCGAAACAGGACATCAAATACAGTTCGATAAAACGACCACAATAGCCAACATTACATCATACTTTCCAAGAAAGTATAGAGAAGCCATAGAAATACAAAAACACCCTAACAATCTAAATAGAGATAATGGCTACAATATAAATAAAATATGGAAGACCATCCTCCCGGCTATTGAAAACCGGCCGAATTCCTCTCCCCCCTTGACTCACAATTTTCTTCTCCCCCCTCCTCCCCCTCACACAAGCAGCGTAATATAAAAGGAACGACCCGGGGGAACAGCTTAGTATCAGGCTGCCCCTCGCCCTGACGAAGTGAACTGCAAGGTTTACGAAACGTTGACATTCCAAGAATGGATCTAAACACGGAGAAAACCCGCGAAACGCAAGATTGTCACATAATTCTCAATAATATTTAATTTGTAATTTACTTTGATCTTACTTTCAATTTCAATTTCGGTAAACTTTTTAAGATTCTGAACTGTTAAGATTCAATATTAAATTTGTAAAAATTGCAACGGATAACAACTGTTCTGGATACATAAATTACTTATTTTCATACGTAAATAGTCTAAATTAAAATTTTAAAGCAAGATTATAAAATGGTTTAGTATGTTTAACAAATGGTATAGCATTTTCTATGTACAAGAATTGACATAATATGAAACATGATGTAAAACTGTAGATATCACACGTTTGTAGAAAATTATTTTTGAGAAATCTTTACGATTCGTATTTATCGAATCGTTATTTGAATCTTGTCTTAAAAGCATGTCAGGTGAAATGCTGAATAAATAAAATGTTAAACGGTTTAATGATTTCACTTTAATTAGAAATTCACTGACATTATTTAGCTGAGAAGCGGAAAGTCCAATGCAATATTTATATAAAGTTTGACACAATTAAAGCACTACGCAATATATTATCGCGAAACATATTGTATGTGATATTGCTTATCGTATATAAGTATAATAAATATATGATTTTAAATATATGATAAATACGCGATATGTGATTTTGCGTATACATAAAGAGAAATTTCAAAATTCTTAGCTTTTCTCACGTCTTTCAAAATAAATTCAACATAAATAATTAATTATAAGAGAAATAATTAATTATAGAGAGCAAACATCCTCAAGGCTCTTTAATCCGTCAATAAATTATTATCGTTAATTCTTTATAATCACTTATAAAATATATCTATGGTTTTTATTCCAAAATAACCGACATTTTTACTACATAGAGATAGAAGAATGTAGAAATTGTCAATGATGTTGACAAAAAATAATGTGAGATCTGAAAAGAGTAATGGACTAGCCGAGCGATGGTCCATTTCTATCGATATAAATATTTTTCATGTTCTCGATATACACATGTTCTTACAAATTTTTATTTCAATATAAATATCTAATTTTTTTATTATATCGTCAATAAGCAATAAAAATTTTATTCTTCATATGATATATTAAAAATATATTTTTAAAATATGTCAAATATTTTAATAGATACAACACGGAGAAATTGATTAACTTTAAAATAATTTATATCCGTATATGAAGATTTCATATACTGGATACTGAAATTAAAATGCAATATTCTCTATGATGTTTTCAATTAAATCTTCTAAAAATCTCGCCTGTAGATAAAAAATATAAGGGATTACAGTACTTTTATTAATCCGGAAACAAATTATTTATTTTATCACTCCGTTTATCACTTTTTATCAAATACTGTAATAGAGAAAAATGTCTGTCATTACATTTTCGTTTTTATAAAAGCGAAATTAAATTTCCTATTAATTCCGTACATTTTGCGATTAATATTTTGTTGTATTGTATAACGAGACATCAAAACGTATTTTATTAATAAATAATTTATTAATTAATAAATAATCAAATTATATCTTCCAA